GATCCAGTCGTTTCGGAGGACACACCACAGAAATCTATGTCCATGAACATCCACCCACCGGAAAACGTCTCGACATCCCGAACACCCTCACTACCGGGGATTAGCGCTGTAGATACGTGCTGACCGTCGGGAACGTCAATAAAGCGAACAAAACGACGCCGGGCGGACGTCGTAGATGAGCCTGAAAGATTCGTCGGGGTCAACATCGAGAACTCCCTTTTCAAACCGCAATGCCGATCAGAGGGAGCTTCCGGGCTGCTGTCACAAGAACTACGTTCTTGAACATTGTCTTCTCCGTGTTGTCGTGACGGTGGCGGTGGCGTGACACAGTGGACGGATTGGACAGCCATTTGAAGAGACGATTCACACGGAAACTGTACAACAAGAAAATCACGTCAACGTATGACGAGGTCAGGGAAATAAACAAGAGGGAGCAAACTCACATTTCAAACATTTATCACAAAACAGTGGAACAACAACATTTGAATCCATATCGTTTTATCAGACCCTGATGTGAGGCTCAAGTGGTATCTCATGTCCGACTCCTCACCCACTCGTTCAGTGTGCAAGTGGTTTGGATATGTCCGAGTAAACTCGCATTTTTTCAGGCGAGAGTACAAATGCGAGCTGATTCGGTCTTATTCAACGTACAGTAAGAAATTAAGTTCATGGTCGGAACAAGAGCGAACACAAGTGCGAGTCGATTCGATATTATCCACTAAAAAACAGCAAGAAATTTCAAGTGCCAAGAAATTCGCACTTCAGAGGAACATTTCGATTACGCCGTGCAATAAGAAATTGCCTTCGTGGTTGGTTCAGTGGCGAGTTAACTCGCAAATACAAAAGGACTTCATTCTTTTGGGCCGAGAAGAGACGCGAATTATTGACTAAAGAGGAACAAATTTAGGGGGATGGATGGTTGAAGAGCGAATAAATTCGCACTTGCATACGAGCATTTCCATTATCGAACTGGGGTTTCTGGACTAAAGAGTCACAAATTTGGGGGGATGGTTGGTTGAAGAGCGAATAAATTCGCATTTGCAGATGGACATTTCCACTATGAAACTTGGACTTTTGGACTATAGAGTAAGAAATTTAGGGGGATGGTTGATTGAAGAGCGAATAAATTCGCACTTGCAAACGGGCATTTTCATTACGAAACTGGGGGTACAAGTGCGAGTTCATTCTGACCTATGGACTAAACAGTGACAAATTAAGGGGTTGGTTGGTTCAAGAGCGAATGAATTCGCACTTGTAAACGACCATTTCCGTTACGAAACTGCGGGTACAAGTGCAAGTTGTTTCCGGCTTGTTCTGCGTGTAGTACGAGCCACAGATCGTCGCAAGAGAGAAATAGGGAAAGATGGTGTGCTATTTTTTAAGATGGAGAAAGATTGCGAAGCGATGGGCAGACGGCGCATCGATGAAAATACATGGAGAGAGATGGCGCACCGAATGAGAGAGATGGCGCACCAAGAGAGATGGATGGAGTCACAGTCTTCCCCCGAATACAACGCCCGATCATTACAGCTGAATTCGGGTCAGCTTTCAGTCTAAAGACAACTATAATGAAAGTGCGTTGTATATTCCGGGGACGAAGGTGGATGACGCAGGAAGGGAAAGAGATAGCGAACTTATTGGGAGGTGTGCCGCAGCGATAGAGAGAGATTGCGCACCGATGGAGAAATATGGCGCAGCAATGGAGATAGCAGGCACAACGATGGTTAGCGATAGCACAGCAATGGAGAAAGATGGCGCACCGAAGCAGATAGATGACGATGGAGATAGATTAGGAAAGATAGCGCAGCGATGGAGATAGATNAGAAAGATGGCGCACCGAAGCAGATAGATGACGATGGAGATAGATTAGGAAAGATAGCGCAGCGATGGAGATAGATGACGAAGGAGATAGATTAGGAAAGATTGCGCACTGAAGGAGATGGATGACGAAGGGGATAGATTAGGAAAGATACCGCAGCGATGGGGATAGATGACGAAAGGTCGGTAGAGATCGCGCATCGGTGGAGAGAGATGGAGAGATGACGCACAACAATGGTTAGCGATGCCGCAGCGATGGAGAGAGAAGGCACAACGATGACCAAGATTTGTTATTGCACAACGTTAGTTCCATCGAGTTAAACCTTCATTAAGCATACCTGTCACCTGTTTCGTGCGATTCCACAGTGATGGGCGGTTGCACCGACGACGGCCTGAAACAACAATACAATGGCGATGGCGGGATCGCGCACGGGTAATGGAGAGCCTCTGGGATAAGGATGGAGGTTGCCCGGTTGTCGAGAGAGATCTCGCAGTGATGGAGTGAGATGGAGAGTGAATACTCAACGATGGAGGGAGATCGTGCAGCGATGGAGAGAGAAATCGCGCAGCGCTGCGGTGGGATAACACTGGCCAGGGCTTCGATAGTGATGGCCAGCGCTGCGGTGGAGAGCGATGGCGCACTGGTGGAGAGCGATGGCGCGGCGATGGAACGCATTACAATGCAGCGATAGCGATAGCGATAGCAGCGATGGAACAGCGATAGCGATTGCGCAGCGATGGCGCACCGGTGGAGAGCGATGGCGCAGCGATGGAACAGTGATAGCGATGGCGGAGCGATGGAACAGCGATAGCGATGGCAGCGACAACGATGGCACACCGATTGAGAGATGGCTCAGCGATGGAACCAACGTTGCGATGGCAGCTATGGTACCAGCGTTGCGATGGCGCAGTGATGGCCAGCGCTGCGATGAGAGCGATGGCGATTGTTAGCGCAGCGATGGTCAGGCGAGCGAGACGGCTGCGATGGGGGATGTAGCTTTGCGTCGCGATGGCGATGAGCTAAGCGCATCGATGGCGATGGTGCATGGCGAGCGTTGGCGATGGTGATGAGCTAAGCGCATTGATAACGATGGTGCATGGCTAAGCGCATCGATATTGAACGCCGTTGACATTTGCAAAATGTTCGAATGACAGCGACACCGGTGTTTTTTACCTCGGCGCACAACGAATCGCCGCGCCTCGGCGGGAAATAAACCGTTGCCTGGCCTCGACGTGCAACGAACCGCCTCGGCGCACAACGAATCGCTGCACCTTATAGATTCTTGCGCCTGACCTCGTGCGTCGAATCATGCCGATCGACGGTTCAGATTACAACTACGAAAATGACATTGCCTGCCCCTTGTTTTTCGGAACTGTCACATCATTGCACGCCGGAGTAGACGGAGATTTTGGGGCCACTAGCATAACAGTGGCTCCGTTCATCTGCGCGGTTGAAAATTGTTGATCGACGGCGCACAATTTCCGGTACCCCTTACCGTTTATAGGCCCTGGCGCTCTATGGGCCCAGGGGTGCGATACGCGAATCGATTCGGCCCCACCTTGATGGCGTTTTATGGGCCCAGGGGTGCGATATGCGAATCGATTCGGCCCCACGTTGATCCCGACCCGAGGCCTGCTGCAACAAAGTATAAAAGGCGTTGCATCCCTCGAGTTATCCCTTTTGTTGGCGCTCCACAGATCAAGTCGCGCTATCGCTTCCGCGCGCATTCTGATATTTGGTCTTCAGCCCCCCCCACCTTCCGCCATAGCCCGCTCACTCTTCGCTCTTCGCTCCGTCCGCAGTTGCCACATTGTGTTCGGTTCGCTCTTCGCTCCTCGGTCTTCGCTCTTCCTAGCTCGATATCCCTCCACCATAGCTGGTTCGGTGGTTGGTCGCTCGCTCAACGCACGACGAAGGTAAAATCATATAACTTGAGTTGTCCTATTCTGTGTCCGACGTCCGAACACATTCCCAGATGCCCTGTCTGTACCTGCAGGATATAACGCCGCAGCCGCGTTCTGTTGAACCCCGAATCAATTCCCGGTTTTGTTTTTTCTCCAGTGGACGTGCTCTGATCTCTTTTCTCCACCCTCCACCTCCGTCCGCCATAGCCGATCCGCGTTCCGCAGCTTGATTTCCTTTCGCCATAGCCACGATAACGTTCGTATAAAGCTGCTCGATCCCCTTCGCAACTTGCAGTCGTCGTTGCGCATGGCGAACCCCGAATCAATACCTAGTTTGTACACTGAACACCAAATCAATTCCCGATTTTCGCTCACCTGTCCCTTGTGAGGTCGCCGACCTGATATTTATGTATATATATATATATATATATGTATATATATATATATGTATATATATATGTGTGTGTGTGTATAGATTCATACATATGTAGAGAGATATATTGCGAGTCAGTTCGCAGTTTGCGACGTACAATGTTCGAGGAGTGACAACTGCGAGGTTATTCGCAGTTCTTTATTTCCACAAATGCGAGTAAGTTCGCACTTTTTGAGCAACACTGCTGGAGTGTTGACAACCCAACCCGTGCGGCTTTCAGGTCTTCAGTTCCACAATTCCGAGTTAGTTCGTACTTTCCCCTAGTGCTGCGCATCGCCATTATTGTCTTGTCTACAAAACTGCGAGTTAGTTCGCACTTGTCGAAACCCTTCGCAATTGTCGATAAACCAGGACTTCAGTTTCACAATTCGGAGTCAGTTTGTACTTTTCCGTTGTACTTCGGGTTGCAATTGTCGTCCTGTCAGCAGAACTGCGAGTTAGTTCTCACTTGTCGATTCGCACTTGTCGATAAACCACATCTTACTCGTTTCGTGCGTCTTTCAGGTCTTCAGTTCCACAATTCCGAGTTAGTTCGCACTTTCCCCTAGTGCAGCGGGTTGCCATTGTTGTCTTGTCTGCAGAACTGCAAGTTAGTTCGCACTTGTCGACACCCTTCGCACTTGTCGATAAACCACATCTTACTCGTTTCGAGGGCATCTAGTTGGGTCGCAATCTTTCCGAACAGTTATCGTCTTTCCTCCGAACTTCTGTCTTTCCTATCCTTCACCCGATTGTTGTGACTTCGTGTGCATTTCGAACACCTATCTCTTACGTCCTTTTCGTCCTCCATTTCGTTAAGTCCGAGTTAGTTCGCACTTCGCTTCTATAGTGGTCTGGGGTTGGGCGTATTAGTCATCCGAGTTGGTCTGAGGTTGGGCGTGCTATTCAATGGGTGGGAATAGAATGGCGTCCGCAAAGAACACATCCACAAGCGCTGGACCATCTGCCCCTGGGGAGGAACGACCTGTACAGCAACCTACTCCTCATTATATGCACGCAAAGAGAGCACAATGGTTTTTGGACTTCGTTGTTCAGGGGGACCTTTTTGGGCCAGCTGTTTTCATGCGACCCACTTGCGTTACAGACGTTGGGGGAGCGGTCAACGTTGTTCCTCTCGGTACCGTCGTCTCGTGCGCGAAGACTCCTGGAGGTTTGCTCAAGCTGAACACTAACGGCTTCTACGACGAGTGCAGACTGCCTATCAGAGGTGTTAAAGGTGTGCTGGTGACCATCAAGAGTTTCGCGGGGTACGGCTCGAACATGCTATTGTGCTGTCACTTCAAAGGCCTTTGCGATGGCGGCAGCAAGCGTCTTCCATCACTAGAGCAATATCTCGATCTCGCGTTGATGGTGCCGAAAGAACGCCCGGTTCTTCCGCCAGAACATGTTTTCCGGCTTCTGCCACCCCGTGAGGGGTCGTCCGGCTTGGCTCAAGAAACTCCAGGTACGGCAGTGGGGCGCGGGAGTCCGATTCAAGACGCTGGGGTTCGGGTCAAGGGACGCAGCGTTCACACGCAGCTCGGCCCGGATGCTCCTAGGAACACGTTGGACTTGCATTCTCAGGGTACAGGGACTCAACGGGTCGGTACTCCGAAACTTATCAAGGTCCGCTGCGGCGCTGAAACGTATTCGCTTCGAGATGAGATGAGAAGAGATTCAAGCAGATCGGGGCTAGATGTTGGAGGGAATGAGGCTGAAGGGATGGGGGCTGTCCACGAAAGCTCTGGCGGGGAGCAGACTCCTTCGGAGAGGAAGAGCGAGCGACAGAGGATGGTGCGAGAGGAGGTGGCGGAAGGAACCCTCTGCATGAAAAGGATGAGAGGAAAACCGAAGGCGGTGATGGGCGGGGATGGAGGTGGCAACGGAGAACGTGCCTCGGGAAAGAGGCCGACGAAGGAAGAGGGTGGTACGGCAAGTAAGAAAGCGAGGAGGCCCGGCGGTTTGACCATCCACGAAGGACAAGCCGCGGGTGGAGGAGATTCGGCTGATCCACACGCTGCGGCCGCGAGAGAACCTTCGGGGAAATCGAAACGGAAAGTGGCAGGTGAAGAAGGCGATGGCCAGAAGAAACCTCGAAGGCGGAAGACTGCTGAGGCGGCGAGCGGTGGCGAAGGGCCTGTCGGTGAGGAGTGCGATAAAGCGGCAGCGTTCTGGCTCGAATATGAGCGGAACGATGTCGGTGAAATCGTGGAGAAGGAGCTCCCCGTCCAACTGCTCATCGACCCCAGGAAGATCTGCGACATCCCGCCTTGGGAGAGATATTACAACCACCGCAGTCTAAGTCGCGAAACTGTGGACGACATCAAGGATGCGATGCTGAGTCAATTCCGCGAGAAAAAGGGGAAGATCTGGACGAAAAACCCTCTGGTTTTGGCACCGATCTACAAGTCGGTGACGCGTAGGCCGGAGAAAGCTGACAGGGTTTACAAAGATGTCTTCAAGCCAAAGGACAAGGACAAGTACTACTATTACCCTGTTAACGGGCAACACACCGTGGCTGCTGTGAAGGAGTTGGAGGGTGATCCAATATTCGATTTGTGGAAGATGCACTTGTGGCCGGCGAGAGTAGTGTGGTTCTCCGACCGAGATTTCGCGGGGTATGGGCAGGTCAGTCTCAACGAGAACACGAGACACAAGATGTCTAAGCAGCGATCGCAGAAGGCCGCGTTCTTGGACATGCGGGAGGCATGGGAGAACGAAGGAAGGCCGATGGCCATTCAAGGGAACCCTTCCGGCAAGGAGGTTGAAAAACAAAAGTTTTTCGATTTCCAAAAGCTGATTTTGGGAAAGAGTCCGAACGAAGCTCACTGGACGTTGTCAAAAAGAGATTCGTCGCTCGCCGACAATGAGTATGTCGCTGCTGTTGGCAATGCATTGAGGCAGTGGATGCCTCTCGTGACGGCCGGTGATGACGTTTTCCACAAAGCCATGGAGTTCTACGCGAAATGGGCAGAGGGGAAGTTGTTGGGCGGCGACGGTAAGACATCATTGTCGATGCCGGGCAAATACATGCCAGACAAATCTCCGGGTCTGCAAGCAATTCCGGAAATGGGCTCGAAAGGGGCGGCTGGTGAAACGAAGATGGGGTGGCTTGTCCGGGTACCTCCGCCTCCTACCAAAAAGAAAACGCAACCGGACGACAAGTTTTTCGTGGTCGTGAAGGAGCCAGACATGTTTTGTTGGCAGTGTCTCGCCGACATGACTGATGTCGAGAAACTGTCGATCCTTGACGACGTTCTCGCGCTAAGGGAAGTGTTCATGCAATCCGCGGGCGGCCATCTGAAGCGTCAGCATAAACCTGGAATTATAGACATAGTCGCGACGAGGAAAGTGGACCATGTGATGCTCCGTATGTTCCACTACATCTTGTTCCTTGAAACGGAGGAGAACGAACGTGTTTGGCGCCACGGGAGCCCATTTTTTTGGACCGAGGGGAAGCTTCTGGAGGAGTTCGGGCCGCAGGGCCTCACGAAACAGGTGTGGGTCAAAATGCGAAAGCATTTCCAAGGCGCGGTGGAGTACGTGAACACTTGCAAACGTACTCTTCTGCACGAGAAGGAGTCCATCGACGACGCGAAGAGATTGTACAATGATGACAGGTTCCCTAAATCTTTTGAAAAGTCTGTCCGTTCCATCTTGCGACGAACGGAAGACGAAGTTCGAGACACGATCAGGGTCAGCGGGGATGTGAGGCACATCAAATGGCCCGACCTCAACCGGGTGACCAGCCTTATTCCTTTTGCTTTCCCGGCTTCCCAAGCTCACAGTCATGTCACTGCGATCCGTGAGGTTGTGTGACATTACGCGTGCAACCTGTACGTCCTCGATTTGTGTGATCCCACCCTCCTCACAGACTGACGAGAAGACGATTTCGCCAACTTGCAAGGCCTTCTACAAACACTTTCGCCAGCGCACTGGGCACTTGTGATCTTTTTCCTCTCTCGTTGGGAGCTCAGTTTCTTGAAAGGCATGGCCAGGCTTAGCGTCCATCACGTCAGGAAAGGGAAGTGGGTATGTAATGCACAAAAGCAGGCCACTGTCCTGGAAGGCAATATGCTGGTTGAGGAGTGTGACCGCCTGTACGTGATTTTTAATGGCGAGAAGCTGGAAGACAACACATTCGCAGTCGACCCGGCCAGTAGCCCGACAAAGGCTTCCCGTGCTCATGGTCCATGTCTGGCCAAACACACGGTGTCGGGCCGGTCGAAAGCTGTCTGTTCGTCGGACCCATCAGGACAGGCTGTGGTGTGTTTCGACGTGGTGGAAGAGGAAAGGTTCTCTCGTAGCATGTGGGAAGACGGCGGCGTGACAAGTTTTCAAGGACCTATTACGGGGAGATAGAGCGGAACCCGTCCCGTCTATTTGGTCTACTCGAAAACTTTTGCAAAGCTGGTCAAACTGTTTTTTTCTTTGGGAAGGCGCATACGTCTGTCGTGTGGGAACTCCTGCGCACCGGTCGGAACGTCGTCGCGTTGGAGAAGGAGGCGAAGATGATCGATTACCTTCACGAGTTCGTGAAGGCATACGTTGCAGACACTCGCAATGCTTGCGAGTTTGTCCAGGCCACCGGCGAACGAAACTGGGATCCCAAACGTGACATGTATTGGAAATTGTCGGGGAACAAAAGGACGGACGTTTGGGACTTCCTTTTCGAACCCGGACCTCTTGGTCCGACCGACCTCGAATACAGTCGACGGAGAAACCTGTTGTTCGTTGTGCTCAATGGGTACCACGATGCACCCAGGGAGTCTGTCTCGCACTTCCTGAGAAGGCTGGAGCACGTTTACTTCACGCTGGCCGAACTGCTCACTCTCGAAAACTACAAGTCACAGTTTGACGAGGAGGACCCTTTCGACGCTGAAGACATGGAGGAGCTGAGCGACTCCGAAACCTTCGATTTCGAGTCCATGCCACTTCCTCGGGTGGTTGGACAGGTTGGTGATGAAGAGGAAGGTGGCCCTCTGAGATATAGCACGTCCCCTGCCGGTTTGAAGCGTGTATTTCGGGGCGAACCAATCGACGACCAATCGTCTGATGACGAGGATTAAGAGAGAGACTATGATCACGAACCTTGTGACAGGCTCCCTGTGGACCATGACACCTGGCAGAATGACAGACTCTACTTCCTCGGCAAGCATCACCGGTTCACGTCGGAGGATGTCTGGGGACACAACGTCGTCTGGCACCCGAGGATATTCCAACCTGCTGTGAGGAATGGAATATGGGTCATGGCAATAAAGGAGGCCGATGGCAAGTGGAGTGGACTGAAGAGACTGGGAGCGGGTGCATTTTAGAGAAAGGCAAGAACTGCTCTGGTGGAGCATTTGAGTCTCATGAACCCCGAGAGGAACGATCAGGACGTCGATGCGTATGCAGAACAAAAGCTACGTGAATTGTACGCCAACAACATGTTGGAGTTTCGAGCGCCTTTCTACGCACTCGAAACGGCACTGTCTCGTGGCACTGACTGGCGCATGCCGCAACCTCCATCGGCCGGTCAGCATCCGGGAGGGGGTGGTGGAGGAGACGAAGGAGACGGCGGAGGTGGCGAAGGAGACGGCTCACAGTTGGCCGGAAAGGGGACGGGCGAGACATCGTCGGTTGAGAAGGCGTCCGGCGGAAAGGGGTCGGACGGAAAGGGGTCGGGCGGGAAGGGGTCGGGCGGCAAGGGGTCGGGCGGAAAGCGTAGAACGTCCGGGAGTCCACAGTATATGGAAACTGACCGCCACTGCGTAGGGAGTCGGGATTCCGACATGCGAGACGAGGCCACCCTGACGTCTAATCAAGTGCGAGTAGATTTGCACTTGTCTGCGAGGAGTTTGTTTCCGTTGCCCAGGAGAGTCCATCCCGCTGTGCGCAACAGAGGTCTCCTGTGCTCAACACCTTGCTCCTGAAAGAGGGCGCGTCTTCGTTTTGCCTGGAGGGCAGGATGCCTGCATTGCGAAGGAGCGAAGGTGCGATCTCTGGTTCCCTCGGCTCGGGCGACCGCTACAAACTCCGAATACATTCGGATTTGCTGACGTCGCCCTATGCCATAAGTGCTCCTCACTCAACAGTTCCGCGGGGCGAAGAAAATGTGACGTCCTCGCTTCCGCATGTTCAATTGGACACAGGGTTACCGTGCACGCCTTCTTTCTCATGTGTTGAGACTCGAGACTGGCGGTCTCGCGACGTGGTGGAGGGGCCCGCTCCAGGGGTGTTGGAGACCGGGGGTAGCGAGAACGAACGTCACACTCCTGGGGAAGACGAGCGCTCTCCGGGAACGCGTGTTGTACATCGGGAAGAGGAGACTCAATGCTGGCAGTCTCGCAAAGTGTTGGAGACCGGGGGTAGCGAGTGTGAACGTCATGCTTCGGAGGGTGCGTCTGTGGACACTGACAGCGAGAGTGCAGGAGCTCCGGGGGAAACGCATGTGGTACAGCGGGGAGAGGAGACTCGACACGGGCCGGCTCGTGAAGACGTGAAGTAGCTCCATGCACGAGCGCTGGTGATCGGGACGTCCGAAGAGGTTCTGCACAGTCGCTCGGTTGTGGCCACGACGTGAGAGGGTGTTGTTAAGGGAGGTCAGTGGACGTCCGTGCAAGCTCCCGTTCTTGGCGACGATGAAGACGAAGAAGAACCCGTGGCGGAAGCTCGGGTTCATGGCGATGAGAAAGGCGGAGAACCCGTGGTGGAAGGCAGTGAGGTGACTGTCGACATCCGGACGGATCCACAACGGAAAGACGGTGATTCTTCGCCCACCCGTTGCGGTGAAGAACAGGGTGGTCGAGCGTCTGTCCTGAGCACCGCTCGGGGAATGGTGCTTCATGAAGCTATAGACTTGGGTGACGACTCGGCAGCCACCGAGCTGGTTAGCGACTCAGGCGTGGCCGAGATGCAGAACGTCGAATCCTTCGTGGAAGGCGGTGAGGTGGCCGTCAGCATCAAGATGGATCCAGAGCGGAAAGATCATGATTCTCTGTGCACCCGTTGCGGTGCCGAACAGGGTGATCGAGCATCTGTCCTTAGTACCGGTCGGGAAATGGTGCTTCATGAACCCATCGACTTGCCAAGTGACACAGCTGCCACCGAGCTGGTTAGCGACACAGCCGTGGCCGAGGTCCAGAACCTCGAATCGTCCGTGGACGTTGGCGCAGTGGCGCGATAGGAGGGCGAGTTCCCTCAAAGGGCTCCCGGGCCTCCTTGCCGGAAGGGTTCCCTTGAATGGCCACCGACCTTCCTTCATTCTCCCATGCCTCCCGCATGTCTTGGAACGCGGCCTTCTGCGATCGCTACTTAGACATCTTGTGTCTCGTGTTCTCGTTGGGACTCACCCGCCTATACTCCGCGAAATCTTCGTCGGAGAACCACACTACTCTCGCCGGCCACGACTGCATCTTCCACAATTTGAATATTGGCTTATCCACCAACTCCTTTACAGCAGCCACGGTGTGTTGTCCGTTCACAGCTTTCTCTGGCCTACGCGTCACCGGCTTGTATATGGGTGCCAGAACCAAAGGGTTTTTCGTCCCGATCTTCCCCGTTTTTTTGCGGAATCGACTCAGCATCGCAGCCTTGATGTCGTCCACAGTTTCGCGATTTAGACATTTCGAATCCAAAAGCTGTTTTTGGGAAAGAGTCTGAACAAGGCTCACTGGACGTTGGCAAAAAAAGATTTATCGCTCGCCGATAAGGAGTACGTCGCTGCCGTTGGCAATGCATTGAGGCAGTGAGTGCCGCTCGTGACGGCCGGTGATAACGTTTTCCACAAAGGCATGGAGTTCTATCACCGTCATCGTTCCACTCGCATTCGAGCCAGAACGTTGCCGCTTTGTCGATCTTCCCGCCGACAGCCCGTTCACCACCGCTCGCCACCTCAGTTGTCTTCCTCCTTCGAGGTTTCTTCTGGCCATCGCCTTCTTCAGCTGCCACTTTCCGTTTCGATTTCCCCAAAGGTTCTCTCGCTGCCGCAGCGCCTGAATGAGCCGAATCTCCTCCACCCATGGCTTGTCCTTCGCGGATGGTCAAACCGTCGGGCCTCCTCGCTTTCTTACTTGCCGTCGCACTCTCTTCCTTCGACGCCCTCTTTCCCGAGGCACGTTCTCCGACATCACGTCCATCCCCGCTCATCACCACCTCCGATTTTCCTCTCATCCTCTTCATGCGGAGGGTTTCCTCCGCCACCTCCTCTCGCACCATCCTCTGTCGCTCGCGCTTTTTCTCCGAAGAAGTCGGCTCCCCGCCAGAGCTTTCACGGACAGCGCCCATCCCTTCAGCCTCATTCCCTCCGACATCTTGCCCCGATCTGGCGGATTCTCTTCTCGTCTCACGTGTCGCCCCCGCAGCGGACCTTGAGGATTTTCGGAGTACCGACCCCGTGAGTCCCTGCATCTGGAGAATGCAAGTCTGACGTGTTCCCAGGAGCATCCGGGCCGACCTACGTGTGAACACTGCGCGCGAGCCCCTTGACCCGACCCCCAGCGTCGTGAACCGCACGCCCGCGCCCCACTGCCGTCTCAGGAGTTTCTTGAGCCAAGCCGGACGACCCCTCATGGGGTAGCAGAAGCCGAAAAACATGTTCTCGCGGAAGAACCGGACGTTGTTTCGGCACCTTAAGTGCGAGATCGAGGTATTCCACTGGCGATGGAAGACGCTTGCTGCCGCCTTCGTAAAGCCCTTTGAAGTGAGGGCACAGCGTCATGTTCGAGCCATACCCTGCGAAACGCTTGATGAGCACTATCACACCCTTAACATCTCCGAGAGGCAGTCTGCACTCATCGTACAAGCAGTTAGTGTGCAGCTTGAGCAAACCTCCAGCAACCCTGTCGTATGAGACGATGGCACCGAGACGAAGAACGTTTTCCGCTCCCTCAACGTCCGGAAAGCAAGCGGGTCGCAGGAAAACAGTTGGCCCAAAAAGGTCCCCCTGAACAACGAAGTCCAAAAACCATTGTGCTTCACTTGTGTGGATATACTGAGGATTAGATCGCTGAAGAGTTCGTCCCTCCCGGGGGGCAGATGGTTCAGCGCTTGTGGATGTGTTTTTTGCGGACGTCATTGTACTCCCACCCGTTGACTAATACGCCCAACCTCATACCAAGTCGGATGACCGGAAGGAAAGCAACAAGGTTTTCCCAACACTAGAGAAGCAAAGTGTGAACTAACTCGGACTTGACGAAATGGAGGACGATTCCCAACACTACGGAAGCAAAGTGCGAACTAACTCGGACTTGACGAAATGGAGGACGAAAAGGACGTAAGAGATGGGTGTTCGAAATGCACACGATATCACAACAATCGGGTAAAGGAGAAGAAAAACAACAACTCTTCGGAAAGATTGCGACCCGACTTGCCGCCCTCGAAACGAGTAAGATGTGGTTTATCGACAAGTGCGAAGGGTGTCGACGAGTGCGAACTAACTCGCAGTTCTCGAGACAAGACAACAATTGCAACCCGCAGTACTAGGGGAAAGTGCGAACTAACTCGGAATTGTGGAACTGAAGACCTGAAAGATGCATGGCATGAGTGTCTACGAGTGCGAACTAACTCCCTGTTCCGGAGATGGAGGTTATTAACTCCTCAGCCAGGGTTGCTCATAAAGTGCGAACTGACTCGCAGTTGTGGAAATAAAGAACTGCCTTTAATTAATGAAATAGGTGTCTAACCTTGGGAAAACTGCGAATTAACTCGCAGTTGTCACTCCTCAAGCAATGTACGTAGCAAACTGCGCACTGACTCGCAATATATCTGTATATATATATATATATATCTTTATATATATATATATATATATATATATATATATATATATATATATATATATATGTATATCAGGTCGGCGACCTCACAAGGGATAGGTGAGCGAAAATCGGGAATTGATTCGATAATGCGCAGTGACGACTACAAGTTGCGAAGGGGATCGAGCAGCTTTATACAAACGTTATCTTGGCTATGGCGAAAGGTAATCGAGCTGCGGAACGCGGATCGGCTATGGCGGACGGAGGTGGAGGGTGGAGAAATGACATCAGAAAACGTCCACTGGCGAAACAACAAAACCGAGAATTGATTCGGGGTTCAACATGCGGCAACTGCGACATTATATCCTGCAGGTAGAGACAGGGCATCATAGGACAAATAAAGTTATAGAATTTTGCCTTCGTCGTGCGTTGAGCGAGCGACCAACGTCGGACGGATATGGATGTGCGATCACCGAACCAGCTATGGTGGAGAGATATCGAGCTAGGAAGAGCGAAGAGCGAACTGAACACAATGCGGCAACTGCGAACGGAGCGAAGAGCGAAGAGTGAACGGGCTATGGTGGAAGGTGGTGGGGGTTGAAGACTAAATATCAGAATGCGCGCGGAAGCGATAGAGCGACTTGACCTGTGGAGCGACAAGAAGAGGGATAACGCGAGGGCTGCAACTCCTTTAATACTTTGCTGCAGCAGGCCTCACGTCGGGATTGAGGTGGGGCCGAATCAATCCGCATATCGCACCCCTGGGCCCATAAAATGCCAGGGCCTATAAACAGGTAAGAGGTACCGAAAATTGTCAGCCTCCGATTAACAATTTTCAACGGCGCAGATGAACGGAGCCACTGATATGCCAGTGGCCCCAAAATCTCCGTCAACTCTAGCGTGCAATGATGTGACAGTTCGCGAAAACAAGGGGCATGCAACATCATGTTCGCAGTTGTAATCTGGACCGTCGTTCGGCATGATCCGACGCACGAGATTAGGCGCAAGAATCTATATGGTGCGGCGATTCGTTGTGCGCCGAGACGCTTCGTTGTGGGCCGAGGCCAGGCGACGGTTTATTTCGCGCCGAGGCGTGGCGATTTGTTATGCGTCGAGGTCAAAAACACCGAAAATCTATAAGTTCCAGTGTCGCTGTCATTCAGACATTTTGCAAATGTCAACGGCGTTGGATATCGATGAGCTTAGCCATGCACCATCACCATCGATGCGCTTAGCTCATCGCCATCGAGACGCAAAGCTATATCCCCCATCGCAGCCGTCGCGCTCGCCTAACCATCGCAGCGCTGACAATCGCCATCGCTCCCATCGCAGCGCTGACCATCGTGATGGCTGCCATCGCAACGCTGGTTCCATCGCTGCGCCATCT